TGTATCTCAGTATTCGCCTCGACAACATTGTCTTTTTCCTGTGTGAATACTGACGAAAAATATTCATTTAGCACCTCTCCTATCTCTTCGGACTCCACGCACAACTTCCCACTACTGTCCTTGACCGGCCCGAATCTTACTCTGGTCATTCTTTTATTCCTGACATACCTATAGAAAGCTTTAGGCTTTTCCTTGATCCTACCTGCTAAAGACTTCTCATGTCCCCTCCTGGCTCTTCTTAGCTCTCTCTTTAGGTCCTTCCTGGCTAACTTGTAACTCTCAAGCGCCCTAACTGAGCCTTCACGCCTCATCTCTACATAAGCCTCCTTCTTCCTCTTGCCAAGAGATTCAACTTCTTTAGTAAACCACGGTTCCCTCGCTCGACCACTTCCTCCCTGCCTGACAGGTACATACTTCTCAAGGACACGCAGTAGCTGTTCCTTGATCAAGCTCCACATTTCAATTGTGCCCAGCCCCTGCAGTTTCCTTCTCCATCCTATACATCCTAAATCTTGCCTAATCGCCTCATAATTGCCTTTCCCCCAGCTATAACTCTTGCCCTGCGGTATATACCGATCCCTTTCCATCGCTAAAGTAAACGTAACCGAATTGTGGTCACTATCACCAAAGTGCTCACCTCCCTCCAAATCTAACACCTGGCCTGGTTCATTACCCAGTACCAAATCCAATGTGGCCTCGCCTCTTGTTGGCCTATCTCCATACTGTGTCAGGAAACCCTCCTGCACGCATTGGACAAAAACTGACCCATCTAAAGTACTCGAACTATAGCGTTTCCAGTCAATATTTGGAAAGTTAAAGTCCCCCATAACAACTACCCTGTTACTTTCGCTCCTATCCAGAATCATCTTTGCAATCTTTTCCTCTACATCTCTGGAACTTTTCGGAGGCCTATAGAAAACTCCCAACAGGGTGACCTCTCCTTTCCTGGTTCTAACCTCAGCCCATACTACCTCAGTAGACGAGTTCTCATCAAACGTCCTTTCTGCCACCGTAATACTGCCCTTGACTAACAATGCCACACCTCCCCCTCTTTTACCACCTTCCCTGATCTTACTGAAACATCTAAACCCCAGAACCTGCAACAACCATTCCTGTCCCTGCTCTATCCATGTCTCCGAAATGGCCACAACATCAAAGTTCCAGCTACCAACCCATGCTGCAAGTTCACTCACCTTATTCCGGATGCTCCTGGCATTGAAGTAGACACACTTCAAACCACCTTCCTGCCTGCCGGTACACTCCTGCGACCTTGAAACCTTATTCATGACCTCACTACTCTCAACCTCCTGTACACTGGAGCTACAATTCAGGTTCCCATCCCCCTGCTGAATTAGTTTAAACCCTCCCGAAGAGCATTAGCAAATTTCCCCCCCCAGGATATTGGTACCCCTCTGGTTCAGGTGTTGACCATCCCGTTTGTAGAGGTCCCACCTACCCCAGAATGAGCCCCAATTATCCAGGTATCTGAATCCCTCCCTCCTGCACCATCCCTGTAGCCATGTGTTCAACTGCTCTCTCTCCCTATTCCTCACCTCGCTAGCACGTGGCACGGGTAACAAACCAGAGATAACAACTCTGTTTGTTCTAGCTCTAAGCTTCCACCTTAGCTCCCTGAATTTCTGCCTTACGTTCCCATCCCTTTTCCTACCCATGTCGTTGGTGCCTATGTGGACCACGACTTGGGGCTGCTCCCCATCCCTGTTAAGGATCCCGAAAACACGATCTGAGACATCACGGACCCTGGCACCTGGGAGGCAACACACCAACCGCGAGTCTCTCTCGTTCCCACAGAATCTCCTATCTGTCCCCCTAACTATGGAGTCCCCAATGACTAATGCTCTCCTCCTCTCCCCCCTTCCCTTCTGAGCAACAGGGACAGACTCTGTGCCAGAGACCTGTACCCCATGGCTTACCCCTGGTAAGTCGACCCCCCAACAGTATCCAAAACGGTATACTTGTTTTTGAGGGGAATGGCCACAGGGGATCCCTGCACTGTCTGCCTGTTCCCTTTCCGTCCCCTGACTGTAACCCACCTACTTTTTTCCTGTACATGGGGTGTGACTACCTCCCTGTAACTCCTCTCAATTACCCCCTCAGCCTCCCGAATGATCCGAAGTCCATCCAGCTCCAGCTCCAGTTCCCTAACACGGTTTCCGAGGAGCTGGAGTTGGGTGCACTTCCCGCAGATGAAGTCAGTGGGGACACGAGTGGTGACCCTTACCTCCCACATTCTACAGGAGGAGCATACGACTGCCCTAACATCCATTCCCACTGTTCTGAATTCCCAAACAGACAAATAAAAAAAAACTAGTCGCCTTACCAAATCAGCGCTCAGGCCTTTTTTTTTGGTTAGAGGAGGAGGATGGGTGGGAGACACTACCTGGGTAGTGTTTCGGGTAAAGCAACCGCCCAAATATATTACCTCACTTACTCCAAAAATGGAGTGACGCGAGGTAAGACTTTCATAATCGAAAAGCTTACCTTCCCAGGCTGCCCTCGCGCTTCCTCCCGGACTCCCGCCGCTGAAACAACTGAAAGGCCGCAGTCACGCGAGGTAAGACTTTTATAATCGAAAAGATTACCTTCCCAGGTTGCCCTCGCACTTCCTCCCGGACTCCCCCCGCTGAAACAACTTCACCCTCCTCCATTGGGCAGAAGACACAAAAGTTTGAAAACATGCACCAACAGATTTAAGAACAGCTTCTTCCCCGCTGTTATCAGACTTATGAATGGACCTCTCATATATTAGTGTTGATCTTTCTCTGCACCTTCTCTGTAGCTGTAACACTATATTCTGCATTCTGTTCTGCTACCCTGAGGTACTTATGTAAGGTATGATTTGTCTGTATAGCACATAAAACAATACTTTTCACTGTATCTCTTCTACTGTGAAGATAGACAAATATTTGTCCACCATCTCTGTCATTTCCTCCTTCACCGTGATAATTTTTCCTGTTTTTACCTCCAACGGTCCAATAATTACTTTCGCTACTCCCCTCCTCGTGACAATAATAAATCAAATCAAATTTATAGCATCCAGTTTCTAAAGCAAAAACTGGTTGAGAGTGATGGTAGGTAATTGCACATAGGATTTACAAAAAGTTTAATACAAAAGGATTTCATTCACTGTCTCAAACCTTGACGAGTAATTCATTAAAATAAAGCTAAGTTGGCATACAGACTTCGTGACGAAGGATCCTGCCAGTGTCACAGCACACCAAACGAGTATTCCAATGGACATGAGGATCTTCCGGTTGTATCGATCACCCAGGTAACCAAACAAAGGAGCCAATATCATGTAGCTGCAGATAAAGACTGAACAGAACCAGCAAGTCAATGATAAAACAGTCATCTCAACATCTGGCCAGCAAATTCCAGATGAGCAAGGGCACAGCATCTGCACTGCAACATGTCCAAATATCTAGCCATTGTCAAAGATAAGGCTGTGGCTCAGATACAGAACCCTGAGCAAGAAGGATCTGTGCTCAAATCCCACTCTAGGGACTCAAACACATTATCGAGGCTAACACCCAGTACAGAATTAAGGGATTACAGATTGATAGAGGTGCTGCCTTTCAGATTGGGTGCTCATTTGCAGCAAAATCTTGTGGATGCTAGAGTTCTGAAGAAGAGTTGTATTGAAATTGAGATGTTTCTCTGGCCACAGATACAACCAGACCTGCTGAGTTTCTCCAGCTTTTTTTTTTAAATGTTGGATTGAGGCCCTGTCTAGTTTCAAAGGTGATTTAAAAAAAAAATCTGTGGCTTTTGTTTTGAAGAAAATCAGTCCTCTCTCAAGCATTACTGAAGCAATGATCTTTCCTCTGTTTGAGAGAGATTACAGCATGGAAATTAGCTGCCATGCTTCCCTTCATTGTAAGAGGTGATTACACAAGTAGTTGCAAAACAGTTTGAAACAACCCGAGGTTCTCTCAGATGGTATATAAACGAAAGTTTCATTTCCATCTAAATGAAAGGAAATAAGGAGGCCATTTCACCTCCTACCTTTTTGTTCAAACATTTCAAAGCGAATCCTACTTACCATTGTCCCACCTTCTTCCCTTAGCTTCATATTTTCTTCCACTTGTCCAATTTTTGTTAGAAAGTAAAGGTCTAGAGTCACAGAATTTTACATTGCAGAAGGAGGCCATTTGACCTATCGTGTCTGTACAGTCTCCTGAGAAAGCTACATAGCTAATCCCATTCGCCAGACCTTTCTCCGTAGCCCTCTCATCCCTTCCAAATACATATCCAGCTCGCTTTTGAAACCTCCTATGGAATCCATCTACACTCTTCTCCCAGGCAGCACATTCCAAATCCTAACAACTGAATAAAGAAATTTCTCACTTCTAGCTCTCTTGCTGACAATCCTGAAGTTGTGACCCCTAGTTACTGACATACCAACCAGTGGAAACAGGATATCCTTCTTTACCCTGTGAAAAATTGTTCACAGTTTTGAACACCTCAATAAGGTCACCTCTAATAAGCCCAATTTCCCTAATCTTTCCTTGTACCTAAAATCCCTCAATCCTGGTCTCATTCTGGTGAATCTTCTTTGAATTCTCTTCAAGGCTTTAACATCTGGGCTATAACTATTTCCTGGGGCACAGTATTCCAATGTGACCACAGTACACAGTCACTTGTCTCATCTAACTCATTACTTGTATTTGTAATTAATCATGGCCCCAGCACTGATCCCTGTGGCATTCCACACAGGTTGCCACCCTGAAAGTGCTCCCATTATCCCTGCTCTCTGTCTTCCATTAGTCAGCCAATCCGCTACCATTTCTAATACACTCCCTCTAACATCACGGGCTCGTATGTTATTAAGTAGCCTAATGTGTGGTATCTTATTAACCACCTTCTCAAAACCCAAATATATTACATGCACTGCTGTCCCTTTATCTATGCTCCTCAAAAGAATCCTAATAAATTTGTCAGGTATGATGTCCCCCACGCTGACTTTGCTTGATCACGCTATACATTTCTAAATGCTCTGCTATTGCATCTTTCTTGGGTCTAACATTTTCCCAATAATACTTGTTAAGCTAACTGGCCTATGGTTACTTGCTTCATCCTTTCTCTCTCTTCTTTTTAAAGAAAGGTAGCCATGGTGTAGAGGTACCAGCGCTGGACTGGGGTGGACAAAGTTAGAAGTCACATGACACCAGATTATAGTCCAACAGGTTTATCTGAAATCACAAGCTGTTCCTTCGCCACGTGAAGTGAAGGACATCATCTGATGAAGGAGCACTGCTCTGAAAGCTTGTGACTTCAAATAACCCTGTTGGACAATAGCTTGGTATTGTGTAACTTCTGACTTTTTAAACAAAGGTGTTACGTTGACTGTTTTTCAACCCCCTGGGTCTTTTCCAGAATCCAACAATTCGGGAAGATTATTACTAGTGCACCCACCTTCTCTGTAGCTAATTCCCACGAGATTCAGGGGACTTACGGGTCTTTAGCACCATTAGTTTCCGGAATACATTTTTTGAGTCATAGTCATCATATTTATTTCTTCTCCTTCTTCTCCCCCTTGAATATGGAGCATTTTAAGAATATTAATATCTTTTACCATGAACCTGATGCAAAGTATTTATTCAACTCCTCTGCCATTTCTTGGTCTCCCATTATTATTTTCTCACCCCCAACCCCCACCCACATTCCCTCCTCCCCACTCCCCATTCCCTCACCCCTTCCTCCCCATTCCCTCTTACCCACTCCCTCAGATCCTCCCCTACCCACTCCTCACACCTTCTCTGCCACTCGCTCTCTTCCTCACCTCCCCAGACCCTCTGCCCATTTACCCCAGCTTCTTCCTTCTCTAACCTGCACCCTCTCCCCTCCCACTTACTCACACCCCTCCCTCTCCCTGCTCTCCTGCCCACCCCCTCACCCCATCTCCATGGGAAATAGCTAGGATAGGTAAGACCATTTTTATTTCTGTGTTACCATGCATTATCAATAAGGAGCTCTTGTGGGGCAATGGGCAATGTCTCAAAGCCAGTGCACTCTGAGAATCCAGGGCCAAGGAAGGGATGTTTGTCCAAACAGCTTGAGTACCAACCTATAAATCCTGCTGACACCTACCAATGGCAGGCCATAAGACTGGGCAAGATTCCTGATCAGTCCTATAATGCAAATTGAGCCCTGTCCTGTTGCTATCCTTCTCTCCAGTGTGTGCACTGTCGTAGCAATGGAGAGTCCTCCTCTGGGGGTCAGTTGAGTGGAAGCCCTGCATGGACCTGAGAGGTAGCTGATATGATTTCTGTTCTGACTGCAGTGGATCCCAAACCTGCTTCTTTCTGGGACTTGCGCCAAGAATGAATATTGTATACTCTGGGTAAATATTTAAAGGTATTCTCTAATCAACTTGCTCAGAGAAGTTATTACACATCCCCAGAGCAGGGGGTCTTGAACCTGGGCCTCCTGGTGTAGAGGTCAGGGCACTACCATTGCACCCAAGAGCCCTAAACCTAGGTGAATACACGGAGTTTTCGGATGCACACATTTGCATTTGAATGTCATTCCAGAAAATGTCAAAAATCCAGAAACGACTTGGTCCCGAGCCTTCTAGTCCAGAGAGGGTATTGTATAAATATTTTTACATGGATTGTCCCATCATTCCAAGGATTAGTCAGGAACAGCACAATACTGGCTGTACTTGCCACAGGATTCCTGACCTTCTGGTTTTATTGGTTTCAGGAAGCTCGAGAAGTAGTTATAAATCGCAGGAGCAGGGAAAAGGGAATCAGTGGGAGCTTGGAGGGAATAATGGAAAATAGTGTTCCTTAAACTTACCTGTCTGCAATAGGCCAGCAGAGGAGTCGTTTATTTTAAAGTAGTCCTGAATACCATCCAAGACACCTGTGAGAGAGCAACACTAATTCAGTGAGTGAGCAGAGTCAAAGCAAGAACTATTACATCCGACAGAACCGCAGCCGTCATTCAGGAGCAAGGTCATGGGGACTGGTGTTTAGTCCCAGTCTCACCCACTGCAGCTGATTTTGCTTCCCATACCCACACTGTTACCTTTACAGTACCACCCCCAACTGAACATACCCAGCTCTATCTACACATACATTCACCCACACCGATACCTTTACAGTACCACCCCCAACTGAACATACCCAGCTCTACCTACACATACATACACCCACACTGATACCTTTACAGTACCACCCCCAACTGAACATACCCAGCTCTACCTACACATACATACACACACACTGCTATGGATCAGGCCAGACCCCCTCAGAATATATTAAGATGATAGTGTAGACCCTAACTTTTTCTTATTTTAAAAAGTTAGTTTAAGGTGCTGTATTCCACATGCAATTCAATCGGTCAAACTACCAGATTTGAAGCAAAACACACTTTATTCATACACTAAAAGGCATCTGGAAGGGTGTATGAACAGGATGTGTATAGACAGATATGGACCAAATGCTGGTAATTGGGACTAGATTTATTTAGGATATCTGGTTGGCATGGACGAGTTGGACCGAAGGGTCTGTTTCTGTGCTTTATATCTCTATGACTCTAACTCTAGCTAAAATATAGCAACAGAAAGAAAGAAAGAATTGGCGTAGCTGCTACTCAATTGGAAAACTTAACAGAATAATAGTTTAGTTAACTACTAAACAGTAACTATTCCAACATAGTACATTCCATAAATACACCCTTAGCAAAAGGCAAATTCAGAAAACAGATGGTCTCACTGGCGATTCCAGCAGCCCGGGAGGAAAAACATTTGGAGAAAACTCAGAGTGCAGCAGCCAGTAGAGATGTACTGTGGCTTCCAACCTTTGCTGAGACGCCAGTAACAACTGCTGCTTCTGAAAACTAAAAATCCTAGAGGTGAGGGAGCTTGACCACACCCATTCAGGCTGCTTCGATTCTTTCAGTTTTAAAAAAAAACCTAAGGCCTCACAAGCTGTTTAGGAGTTTTCAATAGAGAGCTGGGGCACCTCTGTCTTAAAACCTTTCTTTAAAAAAAAAACAGGGCAAAATAGACCACTTGAAGCCATAGTATCATCACCACAGACACACAAGTTCACTTCCTCAGGGCCTTCAAAGTGAGAGGATTTGCGTACAGGAGCAGGGATGTCTCGCTGCAATTGTACAGAGCCTTGGTGAAACCACAACTGGGATACTGTGTGCAGTTTTGATCTGTTTATCCGAGGAAGGATGTTCTGGCTATGGAGGGAATGCAACGAAGATTTACCAGACAGATTCCTGGGATGGCAGGACTGATGTATTGAAGGGAGACTGGATTGGTTAGGACTACGTTCACAAGAGTTTCGAAGAATGATGTGGGGGAGGGGATTCTCATAGAAATCTTAAAAATTCTACAGGACTAGGCAGAAAAAAGAAATGCAAGAAGAATGTTTCCTGATAACCGAAGAGTCCAGAACCAGGGGCCACAATCTAAGGATACAGGGTAGGCCATTTAGGACTGAGATGAGGAGAAATGTCTTTACCCAGAGAATGCTGAACCTGTGGAATTCTCTGCAGCAGAAGGTCGTTGAGCCCAAAACATTGAACCTTTTCAAGAATGGGTTTAATATAGTTCTTAGGGCTAAGGGATCAAAGGGTATGGGAAGGAAGCAGGAACAGCGTACAGTCGGATGATCAATCATGATCATATTGAATGACGGAATGGGCTCGAAGAGCTGAATGGCCTACTCCTGCTCCTATTTTGTACGTTTCAATGTTTCATCTTCAATCTTCTCTTTGCCAACTCAGTGCACCGCCATGGGTCAGTTTACACAAACACACTGTTGACATCCTTTCATCCAACCAGGCTATTGTCAGTCTGTGTGGTTCTCTTCCAGTCTTAGCTCAACCTCACTCAACTTCCCAATGCCGAGTTACTCAATAAGACATTGTGAGCCTTTGAGTGAATCCATGGGAGCCAGGGGGTGCCTACTGTGCTTCCAACCTGGCAAGCTCCCTACCCAGCATATGGGTGCCATCTGATATGGTTTCTTGGCTCACACACCACTGCCAGTATAACATGGTCTGAGTGTTTCTATATCTTAACCACTTGTAACTAAACCACAAAGGCTGGGTTCTGGTTGAGACAGATATCTCAAAGTTTATTACCAACACTATTTACACAGCTATGAGATCTCAGTTTTACATAAGCTGGGTTCTGTGCTTACTGACTGTTACTTTTGATTATTACTGTTGCCACATCAATGATGCTACAGTAATAAGTGTTCCCCAAAGGTGAGGGGAATATCTTTACATCGTATCATCACATCTCATGAGGATATCTGTCTGTCTCATCTGGAATTGATAGTAACACAACACCATACACAGCTCCTGAGTACAACATGTATGTAAAGATGACCTGAACTTCCTGAGTGAACTGTACCACACCATCAATAATGCCACTGCAAACACCAGCCACTACCACCTCCATGACATTGCTGAATCTCACTTCACACTCAGCCTCTGCTCTTGTGGTGCAGTGGTAATGTCCCCACCTCTGAGCCAGGAGGTTCCAGTCTCACCTGCTCCAGAGGTATGCTACAATGTCTTGAAAACCTTTCCCCACTGTTACTTCAATAAAGCAGCACAGCAGTGAGCAAACAAATCTTCTCAAAAACAGTGAGCAAACGTTTTGATAGTGGGTCATAGTCTGAAGGCAAGGTTATCAAATCAGACTCTGGAACTGCAATTCTTCCCAAAGTTTCACTCCTCTGGAATCAATTAGCTGAAGGCAGCCTCGGAAAATTGTGTGCAAATGCCAACATTCCTGCTGCCCTCAATGTTCTTGCATTCCTGTAGTTTTCCCAGTGAAACCAGAAAGGCGTGTTTGATTTGTTTCAGGTTACTCAAGAAAGACAACAGGCTTTAACTTGAGATCAGATCTATGACCATCAGCATAAACTGTTGCTATCTAGCCCCCCGACACCGGCTGCCAGGCCGCAGTATACAGAGTGCTCAGGCAATAGGCACATGATAACCCAATATCACTCATGCAAGGCTACCTTTTTCTCATCACACTAGTATTTCACAATATGCTTCGTTTCAGAGATCCAGAAAACCACAGCTTTCTCAGATTACCAGTGACCATCATACTCTGTCAAAAACTTCAAAAATGATCCAGCATCTAAGAACATAAGCACTAGGAGCAGGAGTAGGCCATTCAGCCCCTCAAGCCTGCCCCGCCATTTAATACAATCATGGCTGATCTCAACGTGGCCTCAACTGCACTTTCCTGCCTGCTCTTCATAACCCTTCAACGCATTACTAATTAAAATTCTGTCCATTTCCTCCTTAAATTTATAAAATCCTCAATGTCCTGGCATCCGTGCACTCTGGGGGAGTGAATTCCATAGATTCACAGCTCTTAGAAAAGTACAGCTCAGTGGTTGGCACTGCTGCCTCGCAGCGCCAGGGACCTGGGTTTGATTCCGCCCTCGGCCAACTGTCTGTGTGGAGTTTGCATGTTCTCCCCACGTCTGTGCGGGTTTCCTCCCACAGTCCAAAGGGGTGCAGGTTAGAGTGGATTGACCATGCTAAATTGCCCATATAGTTTTGAGGGTGGGTGGGTTAGCCATGGGAAATGCAGGGCTACAGGGATAGGGTGGGGGTGGGTTTGGGTAGGACCTCTTTCATAGGGTTGGTGTGAACTTGATGGGCAGAATGGCCAGCCTCCACACTGTAGGAATTCTACTCTTACATTTTCATCTCAGGATCACCTCAATCTCCAAGCAACCCTTTCATCCCACCCCAAGATATTGTTTAACCAATGAAGTAAAATAATATAAAATGACATAAAAGTTTTCAAAGGAAATGTGAAAAGACACAAGTTGATTTTTGACTTTCTCTCCTCACAGCCATTTTTCATTCCTGGCGACTCGAAGACAAACCCAGGAGTCAACAATCAGATTCGTATGTTCACAGTTCCACCAGAAACTGCACCCTCCCACCCACCCATGCTGCCCATCTGGCCTGGTTTCACAGATTTTGTTTGAAACCAGGGATTCAGGTATTTGTTTTTCTGCCCTTTGGAGGGGCTAACCTGCAGCACCAAGACCTCCACCATCGGTACAGCGAGGAAGCAGGTCTCAAATCTACGTAGCCTGATCGGGGATTAAACCCCGTGATATTGGCAAATCTGACAATCCAGCCAACTGAGCCAGCTGGCCTTTGGTGAGGCCACTTATAGAATACTGCATACTATTCAGGTCTCCCTGCTGCAAAGATGTTGTTAAAACTTGAAAGGGTGCAGATTTACAAGGACGTTGCCAGGACTGGATGGTTTGAGTTGTAGGGAAAAGGCTGAATAGGCTGGGGCTTTATTTCCCCCAGGAGCACCGGAGGCTGAGGGGTAACTGTTTAAGAGGTTTATAAAATGATTTAAGGTGGCAGCACAGTAGGACGTATTCTGAGGAAGGGTCACAGGACACGAAACGTTAACTCTGTTTTCTCCTCCACAGATGCTGCCAGACCTGCTGAGCTTTTCCAGCAACTTTGTTTTTGTTAGAATGTATTCAGGCTCTGTGCCCATACATTCCCACGCACCCGGCCAGCCACTTTCTCATTCGTTTTTTTTTCTTCTTGTTTTGTTCCTTCATTTGTCTTTTGTATCAAAGTTCACCTTTTCTTCTTCAGCTGCGGTGGAGGAAGGTGGTTGCAAGGGCCCACTGTGGTGGATCAGGACGTCCATTCTTTGTGGCCATATTGGCTGCAGTTTTATCAAAGACTTCATCGTCAGTGGGTCTGGTCTGTTCCTCCTGGCGGCGGTTTCATCGGCGGCTATAGCATGGCGGTTCCAGTTCGTTCCTCATCGCTATGGCGGCAATGTGGCGGCTTTGGGCAGTGACTGAAGTGGAGATTCAGTGTGACAG